ATGACTACACTGGCTTTGAGTCCCTCTGTACGCAGATTACTATATTGTCTCAACTCATGCCTGGGACATCTGCAACGTCCCTTGTACCTTAAGCAGATGTCAAAAACAGTCTCCAGTGCAAACATACGACCCATCGTTGCATTCCTTCATCATGCAAATTCCTCCCTCTTAGCTGGCTCCCAAGAAGCTGACAGCTCTTGTTTCCTTCTGCTCCATGTGGGATTTCCAAATATATGGAGAGCAAGGAAGATGATGGAATTTAACTGGATACCCGGAGGGATGAGAGACAGGAATTCCTTGAGACTGATAGTAGTGAAGGAACAGACAGGTTACTGTGTGTGACAGATGCTCATGAGGCTGAGGGGGGAGGAGGCAGATGTAGGCTTGGAAGTGGGAGGTAAAGAGTGGAGAATGGGCTGAAGTGAGAAAAGGAGAAGTTGAAGTGTATTTGGATCCTAAGGCAAAGATGCTGGGAAGAAGCGGTCCTGAGAGCAGTTGTTAGCTCCTTAGACCGGAGTCCAGATTGAGGGAGTCAGGCATTTTATGGTCTTTTCACCCTCGTTTCAGGCTATTGAGTGCATATGGGAGACTTGGGACACCCCCCACCTTTGGTAGTCAGCCCTGATCCCACATCTCCTCTGTCACCTGGCAGGCATCTTTCTTGCCCTTGTGGTATCCAGCACACAGCATCCGGGGGGAAATCACGTAGTGGTAGGCCTCGCTGCAGATGTCCTGCTGGATGAGCTGCACGTCCACCTTCTGCAGAACATTGCTGATGTGCCCTGAGGGGTAGAGTACCAAAAACAGTGCAAGTGAGCAATGGTGGAGCTTTCCACCATTTACTGTGGTTCCCCAGCATGTACTCATCTCGCTGCATGCTGAAAGCTGCCATCTGCATCACTGTTCTGCTCTCCACTGAGACAGAAGTCTCTGACTTTCAGCAGAGCACTTCACCTGCATGGAAGGAGTAACATTCCCCTGCGGTACCTTTCCCTAAAGGGATATGCTGTAGGCACATCAGCTTTGGGGGCAAGGGGGGTTTTGATTTGGGGAAACCTCTGGGATATCAGAGTTTGGGGTTTGCTTCTCATTGCAATTGATATTAATCTCTTCTGGCTAAGTATGCAAACCAGGAGTGTCCCCTTCTGGATAGACCCCTGAATGTTTCCATTTAGGAAGCCAGAGGAGCAAGTGTGTGAGTGTGAGCAAAGGCACTAAGCTGACCTAGGTGAGCACATCCATATTCCTGTGCCAGGCACTGCTAGAGAACAGCCTCGGCCTGTCTGTTTTCCCTAAAGGGAGGGAACATGAAGGGGCCGTGCCCATACACCTAAACTCTTCCTCACAAACCTGAATGGACTCATCCATACTACCCCATGGGAACTGGTCTTGGCCCATGCTGTCCCCAGCAGTGTGTGGGTACTATGTGGTCAAAATCACCAAATGGTACCAGGGCGCACACTAACAATTACACAGTGTGATCCTCATGGGATCCTGCACTGCTCCCATTGAATTTACTAGTACAGGTGTTGCTGGGGGGACCCAGGTCCTAGGGTCTTTGACATGGGAAAAATGTTCTTGCAGGGGCCACTAACAGTGTCCCCAGGAGACCCAGTCCCAGTTTTACAAAGAGCAGGTTTTTTATCTATCTATCTAAACTCTCTCCGGTCAGGCACTGACCCCGGGGGCACTGTCCCCAGGGAACAACCCAACAGGATCCCACATGTCTATGTAAGCATGGAGTTAGGCTTTGGGACTGGTGCTGCTCCATGTTGTGACCATGGCTGAATAGCCACTAGACAGACCCCTAATTCCTAAAGGGCTGTTCTAGTCTTTGGATGAAGGAACATGTGCTGTCCCCATACAGATTACCAGACTCTCATGTCTTCCTCTCTGAATGCAGTTTCAAGGCACTCAACAGGTAACTTTGGCCGACCTGTGACCCAAAATCAAAGGGAGTGAAGGAGGCATAATGCTTTGGGGAGAACAGAAACCTTTTCTGCCTACCCCATTTCTTAAGCTATGTTTCCACCTTGGCTATGCTACAGTGGGCCACCAGAAAAGTCCTTGCACCCACCGCCTTCCTTGAGGGCCCCCCAGCCAGTGATCCAACAAGAAAGGCCAGGCTCAAAGAGATGAGAAGGAGCAGGCAAGCAGATGGGCTGGATTACAGATGAGATGATCACAGGATGGTCCAGCTGGAGCAGGGCCACATCATAATCATGGCTGTCCTCCTCGTAGTAAGGGTGTAGGAACAGGCGGATCACCTTGAAGGACACCTCTGTGTGGCTGGTGGCATTTTGAAAATATTTGCCCAAGTAAATGGTCCAGATGGAGGCAGAGGCCAGTCTGTAAGACACAGCAGAGAAGATAACTCATCACATGAACAGGAAAGGATGGGCAGACCCTGGCTGCTTCTGTCGCAGTCTTTTGAGGAGTCTCTGATATGGATGACCATCTCACTCAGAGCGGCCTCTTTTTTTATTTGGCTATTGATTTCCAGAAACTAGGTGGGACATCTCTTTGATGCCTTGACATGCCTGTACAGTGGCACCAACTTTGGGCAGAAACTCATACATGCAGGTAACTTGCTCATATTTGCTTATTTTCTTTAGCAAAGCAGGATAAAAGGTGTATGTAGGTTAGGCAAGCAAGTGCAACTGGTCATGTGCAAGTGACTATGACAGGGCAGAGAGCAAGAGCTGAGCTGCTGAAGCAAAGCTAC